GGGGAGGGAGGGAGGGGGGAAGGAGGGAGGAAGGGAAGGGAAGGAGGGAGGAAGGGGAGGAAGGGAGGAAGGGGAGGGAGGGAGTGAGGAAGGAAGGGGAGGGAGGGAGTGAGGAAGGAAGGGAGGGAGGGAGGGAGGGAGAGGGAGGGAAGGGAGGGATAAGGGAGAGAGAATGGAAGGGAAAGGAAGGAAGGGGAGGGGAAGGGAGCCCATGAGGGGTTTACCCAGCCTGGACAAGAAAGTGGAATCCAGAAAAGGCTTCTTGGAGGAGGTGACCTCTAAGCTGAGGCTTGGAAAATGAACAGGAGTTAGCCAGGCAAGGAAGGAGCATGGGCATGAATGATGTTATCTAGGTAGAGGGAGCAGTATACCCATTTGTCTCAAAATAGTTGAGACAAATTTGGTTATTTTTCATTTCCAAGATAAAGCCACACCCTGTCAAATTAACATTGGCCATGGGTGTCATCCTTAGCATCCTTGGACTAAAAATAGGAAAGAATAGGGACAAGGTGAAACTCAGAGGCAGGAAGAGCCTTGGTTTTCTCATCTGTAAAGTGAGATAGACATATGAGAGTCAACAGTCATATGAGACAGTTGAAAGATTAATTAACACATTGTATCGCTTCTCAGCCTTTTGGCTAAGATCAAGTGTAGTAATTAATACATTATATGTGGTGATCTGGAAAAGGGCAAGCTTGCTTGGTGGTATAGTCTTGTTTAGAAAAGGGTTCAAGGAGTGCTGTGTATCAAGGCAGAGAGGATCTGACTCAGAACGAGGGACCAAGGAAGTGAATGGAAAAAAAAGAAAGAGAAGAGAAAGTTTTAGTAATTCTTTGTTGTTTTTTTCTTAAATAGAGACAGGGGTCTCACTATATTGCCCAGGCTGGTCTTGAACTCCTGGGTTCAAACGATCCTCCTGCCCAGCAGAGTAGTTCTTGCTGTGGTAGTAAGGAAAGCTGATCCATAGATCCCTTCTCGAAAAAACTGTGTATTGTTCACACTGTGTGTAAATCAGGAGGCAGTGAGAGCATGGAGTTTGGATTCAGAACAGTCCAAGTTCCAATTTTTCATGTATTAGCCAGTAACTGCACAAGTGACTTAACCTTTCAGCCTCAGTTTCCTCATCTTTAAAATAGGCATAATAATTAGTTCTGCCTTTTCCCTTAATGGTTGGTAAGAAGACTATTCGATATAAAGCAGGCAAAGTCCCCTGTAACTGATGCAGAGGAGTTATAGAAACACTAATTATTATTATTGTGTCCCTTTGCATTGCGTGATCACGTTCAGCCCTGAGACCACCAAGCTTCTATTCTCCTTTCCTTGTTTTGAAGTTCAGGCATTAGAAACATTAGACCAGAAGTTTTGTTTACCAAGCCTGTTCCTTTTTTCCTTTTTTAAAAGAGTGTCTCACTCTGTCGTCCAGGATGAAGTACAGTGGCATGATCATAGCTTTCTGCCAACCTCAAGCTCCTCGGCTCAAGCAGTCCTCCCGCCCCAGCCTCCCAAGTAGCTGGGATGACAGGTGCACATCACCACGTCCAGCTAATTTAAAAAACATTTTTAGTAGAGACAAGTCTTGCTATGTTGCCCAGGCTGATCTCGAACTCCTGGGCTCAAGTGATCTTCCTACTACGGCCTCCCAAAGTGCTGGGATTACAGACACGAGCCGCCATGCCCAGAGTACTAGATGATATTCTTGAAATTTATAT